GGGCAAGTTCAATAGCAGCTTACATGACCCGTTGCTCATTGGCTGTTGGTTATTGAGAGTCCAATCAATGTCTGATATTTTGGGTTTGTTGTCTCCAACTCATTTTGGATCCAATCCAGTTTTCTTCTGAGCAACTGGCAATGTTGCTCTAGATGTGCCAGTGCTTCTAAAGGCTGTTCTGAAAAGTGAGGCATACAGTCATTACTGTCAACAGCATCAATCTGTTAGCACACTTGGACCGGATGAGCGGTGTACTTCATATTGGAGAAAGCATGGATAGACAAAGGCTGATAAAATTATCCAAATTACTCCTGTTTACCATGCACTTCCTGCAATACGCCTTGAACAGATGGATTTTGCACAGACAGGAATTCAGAACAAAAGTTTTCACTGTGTGTCCTTTGGACAATCCACTAAAACCTACTCTGCCAAAGGATGCAAAGGGTATATCTCCACTGCACATGAAAGTGTGATTGTAGCATGGGTAGGCATATGTGTGCTAGCTTTAGTCTAGCTAATGTGAGTTACGATAGTAATGATGTAGACATAGTGGCATGGGCTTCAGCACAGGCTAGCCACTCAAGTACAGTCTGTTGTGGAACCAGATGCTAGCCTGTACCATGTACACTACTAGTGTTGGCTAGATTATAGCTCGCATGGGTATACCGATCCGTGCTACAGTCACACCTTCACATGCAGTGTCAACATACCCAACGTGTCATTACAACAGGATTGCCAGCGCACAGGGAAGTCCCAGTGATGACCCCTTCTCTAGCCACACTATGCTGGCTGCTGATAATTGGTTGTACGGGACTCTATACCAGCTCTAGCACATTGGAGGATGTCCCTACATGGCTGTCTATGCTGGCTTTGAGGGTGTAATGCACTGGCAGCATGGTGAAAAGCAATCCAAATGCAGGGAAGCATCTGAGATAACACATCTACAGGTGTAGCAGTTCAAACAAGTCAAGAACTCAGAAAAGCCAGCAAACATTATTTTAAAAAAAAAAGATCATGGACCTAAAGATGATTTAGGAGTACAACACTGGGAAGGCATTGCACCAAAAACCTGAGAATTGGGGCTGTTAGAGCCAGGGCCGGCTCCAGGCACCAGCCCTCCAAGGATGTGCTTGGGGCGGCACCTGGAGGGGAGCGGCGCTCACCCGGGGAGAGCGGGGCTGCGGCCGGGCTCACCGCCCTCCCCCGGCGCTCCGGCCGGCCGGGGAGAGCGGGGCCCCGGCTGGGCTCTCAGCCCTCCCCCCGGCGCTCCGGCCGGTCGGGGAGAGCGGGGCCCCGGCTGCGCTCTCAGCCCTCCCCCCGGCGCTCCGGCCGGTCGGGGAGAGCGGGGCCGCGGCCGGGCTCTCCGCCCTCCTCCCGGCGCTCCGGCCGGCCGGGGAGAGCGGGGCCGCGGCTGGGCTCGGCCCCCTCCCCTGCCGCGCTCCCCGCCGGTGGCCAGGGGGGGTGGTGGTGGCGGCGGCGGGAGGCTTTTTTGCCTGGGGCGGCAAAAAAGCCAGAGCTGGCCCTGGTTAGAGCAGTGTGGTGTAACAGCAGAGAGTGTATTAGGTCATTTACACAGGGGAGAGAGCATATGGGACCATTAGAGTAGCACAGTATACATCCAGCAGAGGGCGTATGGAGCTGTTAGAGCAGTGCATTAGAAAAACAGCAGAGGGGATAAGGGGCCATTAGAGCAGCCGGGTATGAACATGGCAGAGGGCACATGAAGCTGTTATGGCAGCGCCGTATAAATCCAGCAGTGAGTGCTGTGACAGATAAGATGAGCACAGGCATATCTTTGAGCCTTTTGTATTAACTTTAGCAATGTTATCTCTAGTGCTCCAGTCCTAAAAATAAAAGTACTGGACAGCTGTTCTGGCTTCCCAAAAAAGTGCTGGACTGGTGCATACTTTTTATTGCACACCAGTAGCCTGAGCCGTAAGGGAAGGAGACCATGATGAAACTCATGGTGAAGAGCAGCATTCTGGCCCAGCTCTCAGTCCAGAGCAGCAGGTCCCACTGGTACTGGCACACCAGGATCAGTTAGGCAAATCACACCACCACCAGGACATACATGCTCAGGAAGCTCTTTGCAACAGCAGGTGCCCAGTAGGCAGCAGTAGGCCCAGGTCCTGGCCTTGGGCATCCCAGGATCCACACTGTCTGTCTTGGGCAGCTGGCACAGCAATAGCTCTGAGTGCAGCAGCCTGTTCTGCACCTGGCATGGCCTAAACAGGAGCCCACCAGTCTCTGCTAGGATGCAGCCTGCTGGTTCTCCCCCTCCCACTACTCTGCCAGCCTGGGGATGCCAGTGGATAAGGTCCTGTCTGGCCGGCTAGGCAGCTGTGTTCTTGATTGCCCGGGAGAGGAGCTGGAGCCCAGTGCTTCCGGAGCGCCACATCCTGAGCGTGCTGGGCCCAGCCAGCTCCAACCCAGCAGCACACTCCGCTGAGCAGGGAGTGACCAGACAGCAAGTGTGAAAAATCAGGAGAGGGGGTGGGGGGGTAATAGGAGCCTATATAAGAAAAAGCCCCCAAAATCGGGACTACCCCTATAAAAATCTGGACATCTGGTCACCCTAGCCACCACACCAGGCCAGTCCCCACTTCCTGAAGCCTCTGGGCAGGGGTGGCTGCTCGCTCATCGCTTTGCCATGGCCCAACTCCCACAGCACAGAAGAGACTGACCGTTGATGGAGGCGGGGGGAGGCAAGTGGTCACACTTCACCACCACCGAGCACAGGCTTACAGGGCAAGGAGCACTGGCAGTGCTCAAGTCCTTCCTAAAAAAGGAATACCGGAGCAGCGGCCCAGCGCGTTGCTGCATGACTCGAGTGCTGTTTGTTTGTGTGATACATGGAGGCAGCAGCATGGGGCAACGGAGAGATTGTTCTGTCTGCAAAGGCAGTTTGGGCCTCCTGCTTTTCCTGTGAATCTGGCTTTTCTGGTGTTCTGATTGTACCAAAATAAATAGTATTGTGCCCACTGATGCTTAGAACATTCCCTGCAATTTTGAAATGGATTGGTTGCAGTGTTCCAAAGTGATCTTTTTACAGACTGAGAAATGCCACTAAGTTGAGCATCAGACCTTGCTTTGCTTGCTCCATAAATGCAAATCAGAATGGTAACATTTGACATCCAGTGTGCACTCACTTTGCACTTGTGTAAATGATTACACACGTGCAAGGCAATGGAGAATCAGGTCCAATATATTTGAGGAGGTGAAGACCTGATATAGTCACATATTGCACTTGGACAAATCTGGTCTGCCATTTTTTTGGTGACGAGTGAGTCAGAAACCTTAACATGAAAACATTTGGTTGGTTTGTTTGTTTTTTAGGGCTGTGATTACAACAGTACAGAAAATTCCAACAATTCCAATCAAAATTCACTGGAGTACCAGTCTTATAGAAATTGTGAAAGCTGAGAAAATAGTGCTTGTAGGTTTACTAAAACTTACTGTGGTGTGACTTTCGGTGTTAACCTGCTCAGAGATGTGCAGTCAGACTCTACGCTGTTGGATGGAATAATATTGCTTTGTCACACTCAGGAGCATTTCTAGAGAATAAAATGTGAATACATGGAGTGGCTGTATCATTGGTACTGCTGAAAGGCTGATAAGAAGCAATTTGTATGCATTGCTCTTCCCTAGATTGATGAATTATTTATCATTTTTGGTCATTTCCCCTTCATATGGAGGAGATGGAGGGGAGGACAGAAGTGTCGGGGTCAGTGTTGAACAATTTAAGCCTGAAGCAAATATAGTTTGGTATATTTGTAAATAAGTAGTGGATTCACCTATTCTGGCCACCTATATTTGTGTAACTGTAAATTGCAATACTGGCCTATGTACAAGCAAATAACTGTACACATTTTTGGAAAAATTCATAGAAAGTTATTAATAGTACTGGAGGCTTTGCAGAATTTCATTAGTTTTTGTTTTTTAAGAGGTGCTGAGGAGCTCTTGCAAAATGTTCTGGATGCTGATTAAAGAATTTTGCAAATAAAATCATGAGAATTTGATGGGAACCTTAACAAGTGTCAGACTCCAAGCTACTTAGATTGGGAATGTCCTACCAAAAAATTAACAGAAATATAAATTGTCTCTTTTCAGTCAAAGGTCATTCAGTATATTCTGAGTGCCAAAATATCACACATCATTCAAATAGCTCAACAAGAAATGAGTTGATATTTTATTTTGTGAACATAAATGTGAAAACAAAGGCATTGAAAATATTTTCATTAATTTAAAAGAAAACACAGCACAATGTGAGATTTCTAATAGCAAAATTTAATAAATTAATATATGCATGCCAGATAAAAATACAAAATTACAATTGAAACAACAATAAAGGAAATATTGTACAGTGTTGCAGATTTTACTGCAACCACGATAAAAGGCGTGAAGAATTACTTAAAGTGACAAAGTACACATTTTGTTTCTATTAAAAACAAATTATTACATGATAAAGAACTGAGAGAAACCCAGGAAGAAATCACCCAAGAAAGTGGGAAAACAATGATAGGAAATGTCAACATACAGCCAGAAGCCCCATTTCACAGAAATCATTCTTTTTTAGTATCAGAAACCAATTACATAGAACATAAAAGCAAATTCACAATAGGTTTACACTGAGAAACATGCTAAATTACAATCACAAACTATCCAGAACAAAGATGCTTATAAAAGATGCTGCACCGGTTCTCTTGTTTCTTTTGCAGAAAGATCTTCATCAAAACAGGGAGAACATGAAGCCAATCATGCAATCGAGCTTTAGATTTTTGCTTTAAACATGATAAACACCCAGGATTACTAGTACTGGAAAATGTGTTAACCTTTTTTCAACATCAGCTGAATGGCACTACAGAAGCGACACCGCGTTCCTTCATTTTTATCCTGTATACATCAAAAGCTCTAGCAAATATGGAATTCAGCTACAAGAGCCAGTTAAATTACATTAAAATATTCCTTCCTCCACAGAATATTGTTGTTTCCTTTTTTAGAAAGAACAAAACAAAATATTCAAAATAAAATGTCTTCATTTTTTATAAGCATCTCCACCACAAGTCTCTGGTAACGGATATCATTCAGTGCAGCCATTGCATCAAGTTCTGGTGCTCGCATAAGGGTTGGTCCAAAAACAATGCCAAGATTCTCTGCATTCATGAGATTCTCCTTTTCATGAAGGGTTACCCTGTAAAGGAGGACAACGTTAAACACAAGGCATGTCATACCAAATACTGGTTGATGACACAGTGCACATCGACATGTGTCTGAAAACCCCGGGCAGAGGGGAGGAGCAAAAAGTGCATTCTTTACCTTTCCCCAAAACCTGTGGAGAGACTACTTCACAGGCCCTATGTAGGGTGTGTGTGGGGGGATGTTCCTACAAATCAGAACATGGGTGCACAGTAATGCTACTTTTGCCATTTATAAACGTACTGAGGGCCATTTAGGCGGGAAGGCAAAACTTAGCGTAAAGATCCTCTTTACAGGACTATAATAAGATTACCAATTTAAAATTCACCACAAATGTAGTGTTACCACTTACAGGATAGGGGAAACCTGATCAAACTGTTTCTCTCTCATGCATTCTATTATATTCACATCTGAATTCATTTGATATATACATTGCAAACTAACCATGACATGAAGTGGGGTGAGATTCTCTCCCACAGGCACAAGTGATGCAAATTACATCCCCTGGCACAGACAAGAACAGCAGCACCTGAACGGGGACTCACCCTGGGGCTGCTTTAAAATCCATCAGGGCCGCATTGGAGCCTCATTTGTAGAGGCCATCTAACAAATACGCTAAGTCAGTGCTTTGGCAGGCTTACCCCACCCCTCCTTGGCTGCATCACACAGCTCTTGGGTCCCTAATAGAGTGGGGTTATAAACTGCTAGTGCAGCTTTGCCACCACTTGTAGCAACTTCCTACTGCTGGTTATCTGGAATGTAGGGTCCACCAGTGCCTGTTCCAAAGCTCACCATCTGCTATTATATTATCTTTGGGTGGACCACAGAATATAATTTACCACGTATGCACACAGAGCAGACTATATAGAGTATTCTCAGACAGTATATGGTTAAGAAGTGCGGAGACACAGAATAAATGTCTCCCCAAATTCTGGTTACTGGCATAATAGTAGTAAACAACATGCTGTCTAGAGACACTAAACTTCTGCTTTGGTTTATGGCAGTTAATTGCCTTTCTCAATAAAACAAATTCAGATTTGTAAATGAGTTTGTTCGCAGACTAAACAAAGGACTTAATATACACTGCTGCTTTACCATAAAACAAATCTCCATAAGGATTCTTGTAAATGACTAAATATCCATTGGTAGGAAGTTTGTGGGTTATAAAAACACTTAAGTTCTTCCACATTGCTGAACTATCTAATCTCCTATGCTGAATAAAATCCCTTCAGGCTTATACAATAGTTGTCAGAATTTGATGTCCTCTTTTTTTGACATATTATTCTGGTATTTCCAAAACCCTGCTTCCTAGTTTATGATTCCAAATAAAGGATCAATGGCTAATTAGCTAAATTTTGCAACAAGCGAGTGAGCTAGCTGTTCCCTCACTACAACTCTTTTCAGTAAGTATATTAAACAACAGAAACTAAAAATAATTGAAATATTATAAATTGTGTTGCCTCTTCCTCCTTATACTTAGCAAATGCCAGCAGCGTAAGAATTTATAAATTGATCTGCTAATCAACAGATCAGCAACAACCCTTGAACAATAGGATATGAAAAATCAGCTTTACAAATAGTAAAGTTTGCTTTTTAACTACTTTGCTGCTGGTCGTCCATTCCTGAGGCTATACTAATACGTTCATTTGAAGTTCCATTGAAATAAGTGGACACTGACATATCTGGTCCAGAACATGCAGCAGCCCTGGGGTTGCATTTTGCTGGACATACTCAGCAGACTCAACAAATCCTACAGTGCAACTGTGTTTTCACTAAAAAGACTTAAAATGAAAATATTTATGCGGCAAGAAATGATTATTCATGACAATAGGCACATGTTGACAATAGGTACATGTCACAAATTAAAATGGGCACAGTAGCTAATATGCCAATTCCATTTTTTACTCTGTGGTTTTGTATATACTTTGACAACAGAAGGGGAATAGTTTTTTGCCTTGTAGATATTTATAGTACCTACAAATAGAATAAAAATTGGTTAGGCATATTATTATTATTTGCATCAAAACTGTGGGTTTTTTACTGGTCTAAGTCCTTAAGGCCTATGGAAAGTGCAGAAGGTGGGAGAAAGCACAATGTCTGTCTATCTGTTTTAGTGTATTTTAATACTCTGTTCTTTTAAGACATACAGTAACTCCTCGCTTAATGTAGTAGTTATGTTCCTGAAAAATGCGACTAAGTGAAACAATGTTAAGCGAATCCAATTTCCCCATAAGAATGAATGTAAATAGGGGGGGGGTTAGGTTGCAGGGAAATTTTTTCCACCAGACAAAAGACTATTACACCTCTACCCTGATATAACGCGACCCGATATAACACGGGTTCACATACAACGCGGTAAAGCAGCACTCTGGGGGGATGGGGCTGCGCGTGCCGGCGGATCAGTGCATCAGGCTCCGACACACTGCTCTGAGCGATGTGTTAAGGGTGGGAGGCGGGCGGGAGGCGGGTGGGCAAGTGGGGTGGTGAGTGGCAGGCAAGAGGGGGGTGAGGAGACAGGCGGGCGGGAAGACGGCGAGCAGGAGAGCAGCGGTCAGGCGGACGGGGGGAGGCGCGCCAGACAGACGATGAGGAGACTAATGGGGAGGCGGGCGGGTAGGTGGGGTGAGGAGGCGAGTGGTGGGCAGGAGCGCTGGGTGGACAGTGAGGAGACTAGCAGGGAGGGCTGATTTGTCCCGGGCCCCGCACCCCTCTAGGGACGGCTCCGACACACCGAGGGGTTGGATAAGGGGCAGAGGGTCTCAGGGGGCGGTTAGGGGACAAGGAGAGGGGGGAGGTTGGATGGGTCGGGGGTTCTGAGGGGTCAGTCAGGGGGCAGGAAGTAGGTGGGGGTCGGATAGGGGTCGGGGCCAGGCTGTTTGGGGAGGCACATCCTTCCCTACCCAATATAATGCGGTTTTACCTATAACGTGGTAAGATTTTTTGACCGCGTTATACACGTATATATATATACACACACACACACACACACACACAGAGTATAAGTTTTAAACAATTTAATACTGTACACAGTGATGATGATTGTGAAGCTTGGTTGAGGTGATGAAGTCAGAGGGTGGGATATTTCCCAGGGAATGCCTTACTGCTAAATGATGAACTAGCAATTGGCTGAGCCCTCAAGGGTTAACTCGTTGTTAATGTAGCCTCACACTCTACAAGGCAGCATGAATAGAGGGAGGGGAGACAGCATAGCAGACAGAGACAGAGAGAGACACACACACCGTGTGTGTGAGAGAGAGAGATGCGCATTGCCCCTTTAAGTATGCTGACCTCACTCTAAGTACACTGCCTTGTTAAGTAGATCAGCAAGCTCCCTCCGTCCTGAGCCCTGTCGTGTGTCCCCACCGCTCTATGGAAGATGGGATAAGTGGAGTGCAGGAGCAGGGGGACACCCTGACAGCCCCTCTCTTCCCCTCCACCCCCCACAGCAAGCAGGAGGCTCCCGGGAGCAGCTCCAAGGCAGAGGGCAGGAGCAGCACATGGCAGTGGGGGGAGGGACAGCTGAACTGCTGGCAATTGATGGCCTGCTGGGCGGCTGCCGCACAGAGAACTTGGGGGAATGGGGAGCTGATAGGGGGGCTGCCGGTCCACCCTGGTTCCAAGCCCCCACCAGCTAGCTCCAACGGGCTGTTCTTCCTGCAAGCAGTGGACAAAGCAGGCGGCTGCCAAACGACATTATAAGGGAGCATTGCGCAACTTTAAACGAGCATGTTTTCTAATTGATCAGCAACATAACAACAAAACAACGTTAACTGGGAGGACGTTAAGTGAGGAGTTACTGTATTTAAGTTTGTTCATTCTGCTATAACAAATGACACTGGAGAAATTGTAGTGTTGTGTTAAATTTACAAAAACAACTCAATTTGCTTTATAGAAGCCTCTACAAGGCCCCAAATACATCTTATGGGGCTTACATAGACTTGTGTAGAGGCTGCAGATTGGTCTTTGTTTCAGATGAATTCATCTAATTTCTTTTAAAATAAACCACATACCTCTTTAAATGCGCCATGAGATACCTTAAGGTTTCACAGTGTGCAGGTGGCAGTAGTTTCAATGCTTCATGAAGTGTTTCCAACTGTTCATCAGGATCCATGCTTTCTGAAACAGAAACATTTAAATATCAGTGCAGACAATGCCAGACTTCAAGCAGAGAAGTAGAGACATGGTAGGTTTGGGGAGTGACAGGTCTGAAAGGAGTCCTCATGATTAAATCTAACTGTTTATCTCCAGATTATGTCAATGAGCTTTGGTTTTGCTTTAATCAATGTGCCTCCCCCTTTTTCTGGAAGGTCTCTTCTGGAATGACTCTGTCACAACAGTTTCCATGGCCTTCCCAATGCACTGTCAGGAACAATGTTAGAGGAGAAGAGCTGTGATAAGCTGTGACATGTGAATTCCTGTCCACTAGTAACTGAACTGAGTCCACCAAGACATTCCTCATAGGTACTGAAAAAGCTGTCAAGATAGTAATTTGGACTACTGTCTTGGACTAGTTTTGCACAAGAGGTGAAATTCTGGGCCTACTGAAGTCGATTCGAGTTTTGCCATTGACTTCAATGGGTCAGAGATTTCATCTCTAGGGGTCCTTTATCTCATTACCAATCACTTTCATAGATTACCTCATTCCCAGTAAAATAAAATTAAGGCTACTTTGAATTATGACATTGTCAGGTAAATAGGATCATTCAACACTTAGTGACAGGAAAAGAGGTTACTCATCCTGCGCAGTAACTGTGGTTCTTCAAGATACTATGAGCGCTCTCTTGGTGTGTGTGCCCGCCCCAATCACCCTCAATCTGAGATTTTTATTAGCACTGTCCATTCAGCCCTCAGATGCGCTGTTGGTATCCTCATGCCCTGTACGCAGGCTATATCAGGCTGCCTGGATGAACTGCCCCCTCAGTTACTTCTGCACCGCCGAGTCTCAGGAGAAACTCTGAAGCAGAGGTGAAGGAGGGTGGGTAGTGGGGGGACACATCTCAAAGAACCACACTTACTGCATAAGGTGAGTATCCTCTTTGTCTTTGAGTAGTGTCCCTATAGGTGCTCCACTCTTGGTGACTCCTGAGCAGTATTCCCAGTAGGAGAAAGGGGCTTCAGAATTGAGTTCCAGCACAGGAGAGAGAACTGCATTGCCAACTGCAGCACCAGACCTGGACGCATCAACCAAGGCACAGTATCTAGGGAAGGTATGTACCAAAGACCATGTACGGGCTTTGCAGATTTCTGGAATGGGAACATTTTCAAGGAGACCCATAGATGTAATGTGATCTAGTTGAGTGTGCTGAAACGCTGATAGGGGGTGGAACATTGACAGCCTGGTAGCAAGTTATAATATACTCAGAAATCCATGTAGAGTCTCTGGGTAGAAATGGTGAAACCCTTACATCTGTTTGCAATCAAAAGAAATAATCTATTGGATTTACGAAATGATTTAGTTCTTTCTAGATAGAAGGATAACACCCTCCTGATATCTAGAGTGTGGAGAACAGTCTCCCGCTTGAAGTATGTGGTTTTGGGAAGAAAACGGGCAGATATATGGTCTGATTTAGGTGAAATTCGGAAGTTACTGGAGGGAGAAACCTGGGGCCACAAGGACACCTTAACCTTGTGAAATGTTGTGAAAGGGGAGGTCTGCCATTAAAGCCCCAATCTCTCCGACTGTGGGCTGAGGTAGCTGCCACTAGGCTGTTTTCCTTGATAAATTCAATAAGGAGCAGGTGGCCATTGGTTCCAACAGGGGGTTTGTGAGGCTTTTGAGAACCATATTCAGGTCCCAAGCAGGAGCAGAAACCTTTATCTCTGGGAAGAGATTCCCCAAGCCTTTCATAAATCTTGTGGTTGTGGAATGAGCAAACAGAGAAACCTTCAACGGCAATATGAAAGGCTGTTAGGGCTGCCAGGTGAACTTTGATGGAACTGAGGAACAGTCCCTATTTCTTAAGCTGTAGCAGGTACTCCAGAATGAGAGGACGTGGGGCAGAATCAGGAGCAGCATTGTGGAGTTTCAACAGTGGCTGAATCTTGTTCACTTCTGGAGGTAAGTAGCTCTGGTGGAAACTTTTCTACTATTTAACAATATGTGTTGTGCCTCCGTAGAGCAGCATGATTCTAGCCCCACAAACATCCTGGAACCACACCTTAAGGTGAAGAATGCCCAGGTTGGGATGCGTCAGGTGTCCAGTGTCCTGAGAGAGGAGTTGAGGGATGGCTGGAAGATCTGCTGGAGGATAGAGAGTGAGGTGAAATGGGTAAGAGAACCACGGTTGCCTCAACCACACTGTGGCTCTGAGAATCACTCTAGCCTTTTCCTGCTTGATCTTGTTTATCATCTTGAGGATGAGAGGCGCTGGAGGGAAGGCATAAAACAGTCTGTCTGTCCAAGGCAAGAGGAGGCATCTCCCAGTCAATTGTGACCTAACCCTCCCTCCCCCCACTTTGAGCAAAATAGGTGGTATTTTTTGTTTGTGGTTGTGCCGAAAAGGTCTCCTTCTGGAAACTGCCAAGTCTGAAAGATTCTGTGTAGAACCTGATAATCCATCTCCCATTTGTATTCTTCGGAGAAGCACCTGCTGAGTGTGTCAGCAGTGACATTCTGTATGCCAGGCAGATACATTGCTGAAATCCTTATGTGATGCTTTATGCACCAATTCCACAACTTTATGGCTTTGGTGCAGAGGGAAGGGGATCTTGTCATTCCTGGTCGATTGATATGACTGATAGATCTGTGTCTGATGAGAGGTAGGAAATGCATACAGGCATTTATTGTTCTCAGCTCCAGGAGGTTGATATGGAGGGTGGTCTCTTGAGGTGACCATTTGCCCTGTGCTGTCAGGGAGCCAAAGTGCACCCCCCAACCCAAGAGAGATGCATCTGTGGTTAGTCACTGTTGGTGCAAGTTGGAGGAAGGAGACCCCCTACATAGTGATGAACCTTCCACCAGTCTAGGGAATGCTTCACCCACTGGGGAACTGATGCCTGCTTGCCTAGACTGTATGTTTGGCGAGTAAACCGTTCTGAGCAACCCCTGAAAACAGCGGAGGTGTAATTTTGCATGCTTTGTCACGAAAGTGCAAGTGGCCATGTGACCCAGAAGTTGAAGGCAGTTTCTGACTGAGGTCTGGAGACTGTCAAGAATTTATTTGACAAGGCTTAATAATATTCGGAACCTGTCCACGGGAAGAGGTGCCCTGGATGCCAGAGAAATACCACTATAGTCTGGTGAAGCAGGTAAGCAGCCACTACTGACAGAACCTTTGAGAATACTCTCGGAGCATAGAGGCTGAAGGGGAGCACTTGATACTGGAAATGATTCTAGCCTAACACAAATCAGAGGAATCTCTTGTGAGATGGGTGCACCGCTATATAGAAGTATACATGCTGCAGGTTGAGAGCTGAAACCAATCCCCTGAATCTAGACAAGGAATTATAGTTGCTAGGGTCACCACCCTGAATTTCTGGGGACTCATGAATCTGTTTAGGAGTCTTAGATCTAGAACTGGTCTCCACCCTCTGTTCTTCTTTGGTATGAGGAAATAATTGTAATAGAAGCCCTTTCCCTTGTATTGAGGAGGTACCGGTTCTATTGCTCCTAAATGAAGAAAGGTATTTACTTTGTACCTTATTAGGGACTCGTGAGAGGGGTCCCTGAAGAGGGGCGGGGAAGGGGAATGAGGAGGGAGGGAAGTACAGTGGATGGCGTAGCCTGATGATATTACTCCCAGGACCCATTTGTCTGAGGTGATACACTCCCCTGCATTCTGGAAGTGGAAGAGCCTGTTGCCAAATGGGAGAAGGTAGGTAAAACATTGAAGCTGGCAGACTAATGAGGGTTGGAAATTCAGACCCTTGATGGTCCCATCAAAACTGGCGCTTTGATGATGCCTGTTGTGGAGCCACATCAGATGGGTTTAGAGTCTGTCACCCACTTAACAAGGTCCTGGAACTGGCAAAAATAATTGGCTGCAGATGGGGGGCAGGGGAGAAGTATCAGAGCCTCATCTGGCAAAGAGGCAGAGATGGTGGTCTGACTTGTGGCTTCTTTAGTTGCCCTGGACTCCTGCTCCTCAAATGTTTCTTCCTGCTGCTGGGGTGGGGAAGCTTGGGTCTCCCTATCGTCCCGATGGGATACGGTCAGGGCCCTAGAGAACTGCCAACAATAGGCTTCCCGGGGATCCTAATATGGCCTTTGAGGTGCATACAGGGGAAGCGGTGGCATCCAGGATTATTAAAACCAGGAGTGATGAGCTTCCGGAGCACCTTCCATACCCCTTCAGGAGATGGGGTTAGTGTAAGGGTGTACCAGAGAACCCTGCACTGAAATGGAAGAAACAGAGGATCAGTCATCATCATCATCTTCTTCTTTTAATGGAGGAGCTCCCAGAGAATGGGGCGGGGCGAAGGCACCAGAGATGTAAAGGGATCTGGAGATTAAGAAGTTCCCAGTACCAAGAGATGCTCAGTACCTGCTAACAATGGAGACTCTGGTTCAGCAGTCTTTGCCAGTTCCTTCTGGTATCTGAAATCCTGTGGTGTTGAGTGTTTGTCCTTATCCGACGGTACCAGAGCTGTGGAAGGCTTTGACGTTGGCGCTGATAAGGTTGAAGACTTACATTGTACCACGTGGGAATGGCACACAGAGTGGAGTCTGAGATGACGGTAATGATCCTATATGTTTGGTACCGTCCCCAGCTGACAATACCAAGGTCTTCCTGGAGCCCTGTTTAGTTTTAGAGCCGTGGCGTTTTCCCGCATCCCCCATAATGGAGAAGCCTTTCCCACCCATGGTACCCAGCTTTGAGGAAGACCTCTCAGAGGCCATAGTTCTGGCTGGAGACAGAGGCCTTTATGAGCGGGACTGGCTGGGAGAGGAAATATATTTCCTTTTTTGGAGAGGCTTTGGAGGAGGGCTCTAAGGATTTATCTTCCTAGGAAGAACAGGAGTACTTGTGGCACCTTAGAGACTAAGAAATTTATTTGAGCATAAGCTTTTGTGGGCTACAGCCCACTTCATCGGATGCATAGAATGGAACATATAGTAAGAAATATATATACATACCCTGGTGAACGGGGCATGTCCATCACAAGGAGAATTTCCCCAGAGGGAGTCTCTATAA